ATCCAGTCAGCCTGCAGCCTGGGCTGGTGCCTGGGGTTATCTGTCCCCACATGCAGGACTTTGCATTTCCCTTTCCTGAACTTCCTGAGACTGCCATCAGCCCATTTCTCTAGCCTGCCGAGGTCCTTCTGAATGGCAACACAACCACCTACCTGGTAGATCAACAATTCCTCCTCAATTTTGTATTGCCTTCAAACATGCTGAGGATATGCTTGGTCACACCATCCAGGTCATTAATGAAGATATCAATCAGTATTGGTGTCGGTGTTGATTCCTGAGCACATTACTAATGACTGGCCTCCCACTGGACTTCGTGCTGCTGCTTACAGTCCTTTGAAGGCTGGCAGCTCAGTGAGTTTTCAGTCTACCTCACTGTTTATCTAAGCCATACTTTATCAGCTTGTGTATTGAAGATGTTATGGGAGACAGTGTCAGAAGCTTTGCTAAAACTGAGAGAAGCAACAACCACTGCTTTCCTTTCCTTTCTACCAAGCCAGTGATCATAACCTAGAAGGCTATCAGGTTGATGAAGCATGATTTCCCTGTCATAAATCCATGCTGACTATTCCATATTGCCTTCTTGTTCTAGATAATGGCTGTATGAAGCTTTTTCCATGTGTGGATAGATTTAAATTGGGGGGAATAGTGTTTGAAAGTGATATACAATGTGAGATGTTGATCAGCTAGAAGTACCATGCTCTGGAGCATTACTTACACATGAGAGGGAACAGAAAATAGAAGGTAATTCTCACAGGTTGACTTTATGGAAATACACATAATTTGCCAGATTTTTCAGAAATCTTAATAGTGCTTGTTTCTCAAAAGATGCTGTTAAACGTCCACTTCTATAGGCTTACTTTTCCTAGATGATTATCCCAGATGATTATTGGAGTGCTTCTCAGAATTAGGATACAAGGAAGGTCTCAAATAATCATCTTTTTCCATGCACAGCAATTCAAGAGCCTTCCATCCTATTCCTTAAGGGGCATATTTTCCATATGAATTGCACATACACTTAATATATAATATTAATTCAACATTTATCACCAGATACATTAGTTTTTTAAAATTTAATAATGTATGCCCAACATTAATCTGTTAGCCAGTCTTTGAGTAGTAGTTGGGATAGATAGAATTAAACTATCAAAAATGGCAAAAAAATTGAGACTATTTTCCAAATTTTAAAATAAGTTTTGCCACAAATAAATATATGACTATACAGGTACATAGTATAACACAGCAATCTATAGAAAAATGTAAAATGTATTCAATGAAGCCAAGGCAAGTTCCTAAAAAGAAATATCTCTATTAGACAAGAAGATACTCTTGGAAAAAATGAACAAGCTTCCAGGCATCTAAGCCCATGTGAACTTCGGCATTTATTATTTTTAAAAGTGCCAGTGAATGATTTCTATTTCAGGTTTTTTTATTATACTGTCTTTAATTATATTAACTCTAAAGAACCAAAATTTCTTATCTTGCCTTATCTCATGAAGAATAACATTTTAAAACCCCACTTGAAATCTGAAAGCTTTTATGTGGTAATTTAGGGGGAATAAACCAAACAAGACTTAAGGGGCAAGAATTAAATTCTTTCCATTCCTAATGTTTAATTTGTGAAGGTATATGATTCTATTTGGCTATTTTTTTCTTTTAACTAAACCACTAAGTAACCTATTTTGGTTTTATCTGCAATTTACATTATTAGATCTGTTTTGTGAGTAGCCTGTTTAGATCTTTTCTTTTGGGATTATGTACCCAAATACTGAGAATGTGAATTCAATTAATCGGCTGGAGGAGGACATGTTTACCCAAAAGCTTCTCCGTCTTTTCCAGCTGCATCTGTTGATCAAATACTAGCTTTTAGCTTTTTCTGCAGCTGTTGTCTATAATACATGCTTAAGTCACAGCTACAGTAAAACTGCTGCTACTAATATTTACTGTAGTAACTGGAAGAACTGCTAATGAAGTTTCTCATCAGTGTCTTCCTATTGCTAGTGAAAATTGATGGGAATGAAGGGCTTGTAAAAATGGATCTGATGCCTTTCCAAAACTTACTTTGAGCAGGCAGATGTTCCGTTGCCCTTACTTCAAATCAATCACTTTCCATAGCTTCCTGAGACAGGTAGTAAATATCACTATGCACAGTATACTTGCCATTGTTCTCTTTAAATTTAATCTTTAGAAGTTCCTTTCAGATGAGTTCTCCGGTCCCCATTCCAGAATCAGAGCCTCTATCGATGAAGCCCGTGTTTAACAATTTAGTGAAACCCATACTGGCTCCGGCTGCCATCTGTAATATCCATTCTGTCCTTCTGGACCATCATCTGTGTTTATGTATTTTATGAATTAGGATTAAATATTACCTACTTCAGACTCTCAGACTGTTCTTAAGTGAGGAAGGAAGTTTTTTATATCCCTAGCAACTTTTCACTTATTATTCCTCTGTGAAACTGTATTGCTGTATCCTTTGCCTCATTAAGCCTTTTAAGGGGTATTGAATATTGGAAAAGACTCAGGTTTTTGAGTTACAGGCTTTTCATAATTTTATGTAACGTATAACGTGCTATAGATAGAGCATTGCTATGGCCTCAGCAATTATAACATTCAGAGAGTTCCAGAACTAGATGTAGGCTTCTGTGTGTTTGGACATAAAGAATTTATTAGCCTGATAATTGTAAGGAGATAATCTCCCTTTTCATTGCAACTATATTTATTTATGCATTTTACAAAATATCTTGCTATGCAGTTATGCTTCAGGTTGATTTTCTACTCTTTATTGTGTTTGAGCAGATAGATTTTGAGCAACAGAAAGACTGGATTTTTGGCTATTTTTAATATAATTTCATCTACAATTTTTTTATGTATACTCATGTTCTGGAGGGAAATTTTTGAATATAGTGTGATCCAGTAAGCATTTATATAATTAATTTATATAAATTTCAGTATTGAATGAATGATTTCTCTATTCAGGGAGCAATATAAAATGACCAGCAAGCAAGGTTTGTTAGATCAGTATTAGTGAAATAAAACCTGGCATGGAAAAGTGTGATGCACCTCAGTTAAAAACTGCCTGTGCAGAATTTTCTGACTACTGCTTGCAAGTATAAGTTGTCCCTTTTTTTAAGTTATTCTAGCCTACAGTAGCTTGCAAAAGAGCCATACAAATAAGAAATATGAACCTGGTCTACTGATAGTTCTCTCTTGGTGTTTCTCTAAGTTTCACATTAGCAAAGTGTATGGGTCAACATATTTTGTGTTTATATATTAGGGTGTATTATATATTTGTAGCTACTTTTATTTTATATATGAATGTATAGAGAGGCTACTATGATTTTCTAATGTGAGGACACTGTGAGTATTATTAAACAATTAATGACAGAACATTACAGCGTGTTAAATTGATTATGCTGCATTACTTACTGGAGGATATTTTCTCTGACTTTGTTGAACTTTGTTTAAATCCCTAGCGTCTATTTTTAATTACCACTATATATTTTTGGGAAGAAATAAATGGCAAGGGTAAGGAGAAGACTACAGTATATTTAAACATCTGTATGTTTAACCTGCAAGAACTGTCTGTACTAACGTAATTTTGTTCAGATCATGCTGGTAATTGTAACTTCAATCCTTTCTTTAGGAGGCGATACGAAGATGGAAGGAGAAGCTGCGTATTGCTTAAGTTTAGCGTATCATTTTGCTGGAGAACAACAGGCAGCATTATCAGTAAGTTTATTTTAAAGTTGCTTTAGCTTTCCCAATGCCTTTCTCTGCCTCCTTGTCATCTTCTTAGGCATTTTGGAGAGTGGAAAAGACTTGAAGAGACTCGGCTTATGGACCTTTTATAACTGTATCTAGTTCTGTAGACAGGGATCCGTGTGGCTTAAGCAATTATGGTTCTGATAAATTCCAGAACTGATGGAGTCAAGGTTTCCATGCTTGGATCTGTAGAAATAATATAAATTGACAATTCAGGTTATATGTGACTAGCTTTGCTTTTCCTGTATTTATACATATATAAACCAGTTTTTATTTAGTTAGGTTTTTGTATAAAACACCAGTTTTGCAAACTAGTTTGATACAACATATTTGTGAGCAGCAAGTAAAAATACATCAATTCACGTGTTGAGTGTTTCAGAACATCAGGAATTTAGAACAAATATGAATTGCTTTTAGTATGAAAAGCTGTAGTGCTGATGCAATCCCTTCTGTTGAAACTTGAGTTCAAGCTCCTCTTCTGATGTTTCCTTTGAGCCTCCCATACATAATAATTCTAAGACTATGAGAATTCTACACATGGAATTCTACTCTGGAAGAAGGGTTCCTCTAGTTCATCATAGGTCAGTGTGAGAGGAAAGATAAGCATCAACTTGATTTGTTTGTGCCAGCCATCAGAGAAGTCACAGTCCTCCATGATCCTCTTAAAAATGTTGTGTGGAAAATTAATTTATTTGAATATTTTGTCCATGATTATTGCAATTAATCAGCTGGATATTTCTCTTTCTGTTTGTTCCTTTAACTGCACTGACTCGGCATTTTATTAATGAACAAGTTTTATAGAGGTCATTCTTTCTGGTTATTTGTTGTGGTGGTTTGGGTTTTTATTTTTTGCAGAAATAGACCAATAGAAGTCACAGAGTGAATACAGCATGGGTTTCAATATCGCTTGCTTGGCTTCTGCAGTGTAGGAGGGGTTCTAGATTTCTGTCTTGAAATATCCTCTTATATGTTCTTAATGATTTGTGATACAATTTTTCCAAAAGTTATTGACCATCTTTATACATAATTCTTCAATGTTGATAGGCCTATCTTCTGTATAAATCAACTGAATGCTGGAAAGTGGGAACCTGTTCTCACATCATATACATAATAGGTTGTGCCTGTTGTTTTTAGTCTTATAAAAACACCTGACAGGTAAGGAAAACAATGTATTTTTGTTAAAAGGGAAAGAAAGTCTCTGTAGTACAAAACATAAATGATACATTATGTTAAGGGTATAAAATGTTATTTTAACAGTAATAAAAATACAAATACATTTCAGTGTAAATAATATAATATTATATTATACCATAGAGGCATTTCCTAATATAATGGCATTTCCAATAATATTACATAAGAAAACTATGAAGTACTATCATTCAGAAAATATAGTGTGTGTTAGGAGAGTAAGAAAAAGGAGTAAAATTTTAGTTCCTTTTGTCCTTAACAGTGATCAATATAGACAGCAGTAAAATATCAGTGGTTGACAGTACTGTTGAGCACAAGTTGTCTTCACTCTCCAATTAGAAATCATTGCCTAAAATTTACCCTTCTGTTCTCAGTTTAATGGTCTCTGTATCCAAGGGGAGCTCAGATGCTTACGGAGATGAAATCATTGCATCCTGTTCCCAGAGGACTACTGGTTATCATTACACATAACACGCAGACAATACTGCTAGGAGCCAGTTTGCCTCATGGTAATATGTAGTTCATCACCAGCTTCTGTAGCATGCTAAAGAGGTCTTGCCACACAGCTTGGGACTATTCGGGTGTAGACTCAGGGGTCTCGGCAGTTATTTTCCTGCTTTGCATCAGTTTTCATCTTCTTTATCCTTTTGTGCTGTGGTCCACCTCAGGCAGTCTCCTTCTAGGGGAATCTGAAAGGAGCAGCTGTTACAGATACCATTTCCTCCAATTGTTGCCACTTGGTTCCTTTTGCTGTTCAGCCTGCTACTCCCTCCCCCAACATGCACACACAGTAGCATGCATATAAACTTGTTTCTCTTTCATTCATGTCTTCTAGCAGAGTGGAGAAGCATATGTTCAAAATATTCATTATCTGATGCAGTAATTAAAGGTTGAAATGATTAAGCTGCAGCCTATTATATCAAAAATATGCAGTCACTTTGTATCAAATGCGCTAGTTTTGTTGGAGAAGGTTTTTTATTTGCTAGGCACTTGGTGTATAATCTAACATAATTTGATTTGGTGTATAATCTGTACAAATTGATTTAATTTTATTTGATATATATGATTTATTTCAGTGGACCTACTCAGATGTAAAAACATAAGTGTGTGCAAGTTTAAAAGCCTGAGAACAAATTATGTTCAATAGCAGTGCACTACGTTCGTAATATTTTTCATATCATCTGGTTTATAATCAAGCCTAATGGCTTTTCCACAGAATATAACACAAAGTATTAATAGTTCCCATTATATAGATTTTATCTTAAACATTATAGATTTTGGCAGGGAGAGTTCTCCACCTCGGCTAATTTTAAAGTAAAAGTTACTGTTTACTTGTTTTTCTTCAGACTTGTATAACAAGCTAAGTATTAAGTAAAACACTTCTGTGTCATTAGAAATCTTGCATAAGGTATTGTAATCTAATGCTTCATGTGGGAATTTTTTAAACTGGGCTTTCAAGAATGCTTCAAAGAGTTGGCCATCAAGGGTTTTTTCTCTTTCAATTAGAGTTGCATCCCAAATCATCAGGAAAATTGCAGTCCTCATCCCTTGTCTGAGCATTATTTTTTTTTTCTAAGTGTTCCTTTATTTTGGATATTGAATCCTGTGTTTCAGACGTGTTACTTACGTAAATAATAGAAGCAGTGTTCATGAGTACTGAGACTCATGCCAAAATAAATGTAATTTATGACATAATGCTATGTGCATGAATTGTCAGAATTACGATATACAAGCCACAGGCATAAAATTATCAAGAAAATTTATGAACTTACAAAGACATCTTCATATTCAAAATGACCCTATTAAAGTAAGCAGAGGTGATTTATGACCGTAAAGTTAATTTCTGAAAAAGTCTATGTCAAAACAACTTTTTGTTGAAAATTTTGTGTCAACTCATGTAGCTAGAGAGAATATAGATAGATGTATCCAAGATGCAGATATTCTGAACTTAGTATGCACGGTGTATTTTATCTAGTTATATCTATTATATCTAATTATATAGATTACACCCATATGTATGTAAGAATTTGGTGAATCAAGGAGGACCTTAGCAAGTAAAAGAGCTCCAAAAGGTAGGCTGAATGTTATCCTCTTTTCTCCCAAACATTCTGAAAGGTAGTTGAGAAGAATGAGCATCATTCCTCTGAGATTTGCTCACTATTCTAGTACTTTGCTAGAAGGCTGAACTTCAAGACACTTTTCTATCAATGGTGTCTGGGTAGACCACTGAGTTTAGGTTTAAGCTTTCATTACTGTTACTACAAAAAGAAACACTTAAATGGAGACTGGCAAAACACATCAAAAGATACTGTTCAATGGAAATTATTTCAAATTTCCTTCTTTTAAATCAGCTAGATTGTCCTTTATTCATCTGTAAGTGATATTTAGCCATTAGTAATGAAGTGTAACATTTTCAGCTCAGCAAATGGCATCATGTGCTTGAAAAAAACATTTTAGCATACCAGTTTAAGAAAAGTTCTCATCATTCCTGGAGGCTTCACTTTTATTGAAGCAATTTTAAATTGTTCTTAAAACAGTACTCATATAGAAATTTTGTATTTTTCATATATGAGGAATAAAAAGCCAGGTAAAACTCTGAGTCACCTTTGAAGGTAGGCACTTCTGACAGATCTTGACACTGACAATGGATTATGTACAGAGAAAGATTTTCTTCTTGAAGGTCTAGAATTAGTGAGGCAATTCTGAAACTGATTAAATTTCATGTTTCTGAAAGGTCCCACTGTTGCTAGGCATTGGTGAAGATAGTACAAACAAAATTATATGAGAACAATTAGTGCTGGTAGTGAACTTTGCCCTGACAAAATATACTGACTCAAATACTGGTGGAATTAAGAGATTAGAAATTGTTTGTGTTGAGTATCTTAAAGAAGACCTAAAACTTCAGGAAAGAGGTGAATGTCTAATCATTCAATTAATTTTTTGTTGTTAATTTAGCACTTAATTCTTAAAGTGAAAGAATTATTTGGATATGAAAGTTAACAGTCTCTTAGTGAAGGAAGGATTTCTTCTACTGGTTTAATTTAGGTAATCATTTTCCTATCTTAGCCAGTTTCTTGAAAACCTGAAAAAAATACAGGGAAAATGTTCTGAGTAGCCCTGAGATGTAATGACACTATCTTCATTCAGTACTTTTCTGTATATCACACAGATTTGCACCTTGGTAATATGGTGTCCACCACAGTTGCCTTGGAACATGGTATAATTTTCCTTTTGAGTCTGTGTTTCAAATTGCTTTTTGTTTGGTTAATGGCATCAGAATAACTCCCCTCAGTACCCTGGATTTTTGTCGAGATAAAGGTACCACAAGAATACCTTTTGTAAGAAAACACTCTTAAATGCAGTGCTTCTGCAGAATTACAGTAGTCAAGTTATACAAAAATTATAGAGCCGAGAAACAAAAAATATTAAATATGTAAAAAATCTATTAACTTGATGACAAGCAAATCAGATTATCAGATTTCCATGTTTTCCCAGGGCAACAATGAAAATAAATGCACTAGCAACTTGTTGATATCAACCTTACTCTTCAGGAGTGTCATGTTCCATAAGACTGGCTACCAAAACACCATAAATAGGTGGACTTTCATCTCATCCATTATAATTTTAAATTTAATCATTCATACATCCCAAAAGAGCAAGACAACTACAATAAGCTGCAGATTTGACTGCATGTTCCATTAGATAAATCTATAGCACCTTTTCAGAATTTTGGGACTATCTGACCACTGGTGTTCTCAGGAATCTGAATACCAGTTGGT